CTAAATGTACAAAAGGAAAAACTAGCCTAAATTGGATATGGCAATTAGTTTTAATGTTTGTACAAAGTTTATTTTTACTATCAGCAATCAGATTTTGGGAGAAGATACAAAATTTTTGCGTGTTGCTTAGGCGATAGATAGTCAATTTACCAATCAGTCCCTAAAAATGCATGGCTAGGTTTATCCTACGGCAAGTAGGATTATTCCCTTAAATAAATGGATGGATTGGCTATCAGCCTCCAAGTTAATGTTGCAGCATGCCACTAAAATATATTTCTGATGACTGCGAACAACTGAATATTAGCAACACTTAAGCAATACATCGGGGTTATTGATAAACACACGACTGTCTTCAGTAAATGCGTGTTGTGAGAGAGGCCTTTCCTAAACTGAAAGCATTTTAGTAGCATAACCCCACTTATCTGGGGTCATGCGGACAATGAGGAAACGTTTCTGCCTCGGAATATCTAAACATGGTTCGAACCCAGTTGGTGAGACAAGGCCGAAATGGCGATAGAGGAGGGTGAAAACGACCCTTTTGGATACATGAAGGAGAACATTTTAGCGAAAAATTAAGTCTATCCACTTTAGTATAACATTATTTAAATGATGTTTCTTTTCTTTCTAATCTTAGTACCTGGTTTTATAAATGATCTGCATTTTATCACAGAAGCTCTTAGCTATTATCAACATCTTGGTCTTCGTATCTGAAATTCGCATTGCCTCGCTTCCCCAAAGATGATTCTCATCCAGAGTGGACTGCAGTTTCGACCTCGACCATGTCTTATGAACACCCCGAAGGGGACTCGAACCATGACACCGCAGCTTATAACTCGAAACGTCGAACAATACGTTACAATGCCATGAATGCCTTTGGGTCACAGGGCAGATGTGAACTGCAGTTCGTCATGTATGAGAATAATTTTTAAGAAAGCAAGGCTAAGTATAATCATATAGAAATGCAATGTCTACGCATATCATTGTGGGAAAATTCAAGCACCAGTCAGCTTATCACCCTAAAAGATCTAGGATGAATATATCTTATAAATAAATGATATGCTGTCGGTCTCAAAAGTCTACTTATTAACGAAAAATAACTTCTAGTTAATATTGCTCTACGAGACTATATACATACGCATGTATTTAAGGTTGCCTTAAAGATTAAGATATGAATACCAAAATGTTGGGGCCTCTGGTGTGGTCGCAGTCTCCTTTCGATTTATAGAAGTGGGTTGACCTCGTTTTCGCAACTTGGTCTTGTTGTCAGGGCGACTTAGTAGAATGCACCTAGTCCGAGTTTGTCTGTCGTAATAGTTGTCATGATTCCCAGCATCAGACAGTGGACTTGGTACATTCTCAAACGTTTCG